CACTGTGACTTCAAGACGCTCTAATGGCCTTCTCTCCGACACTGTATGTAAACACGCACTAACGGCCTTGTTTAAACACACGTAAGAACATAAGTTCCCCTCTCAATTGGGTCACCAATTCAATACTCAAATTCAACATGTCAATAATGATGAGGTACATGGGGTATTTATAGTTGCAAAATAAATCTAAGCCTAACTATACTAGATCTCCTAAATCTTGCAATAATAGAAATCCTAACACTAGAAAGCAATAAAATCCTAAATCTACCAAATAACTAATGCTTGTCTTGCACACCAAGCAATTCTAGAATCTCCCAACTTAAACTTTCACACGCCCAAACTCCCTTTGGCCGCCTTATGTGTCGCGCGTTCCACGCCGCCTCACGCTCGCCTAATCCTCGGCGCATTAGGCTTCGCGCGCTCATACCGCACGCGCGCCCCATGCGCGCGCCCAGCCCGTGCTTCCTTCCTCTCGCGCGTGGTCCCTCGCGCCCCTCGCCTATGCCTGCTCGTTTTAGGACGCCCGCGCCTGCCTTCCACGCGTTCGTTCCCGCGCGCGCTTTGCCACCGCCTCCCTTGTCTCGCGCGTCCTCACCACCCACGCGATTTCAGCGCACGCCCAGTCCTCCTGCGCTAATCTCGCGCCTCCTGCCCACTTGCGCGTGTCCCTGCTACCACCCGCGCCCAGATCGCCTACGGCGCCTCCATGTACACCCGTGCACCCGCCAACCATGCGCCCGCGTACTCCTTGTAAACCCCGCGTGCACGGCTTTTTTGCCCATTTGTGCGCATCAAGGGCCGATGCGCACCTTTCGCATTTTAGCCCCTTACTAGACTCGCCGGTCCCTAACTCCACTTCCGTATCATTCCCCTCCGCTTCAAGACTTTCCTTGTCCCCAAGGATTAGAAAATTCAGCTTCCTAACTCGACCATCCTCGTCATCCTCATCAGGTGACTCGCCTGGATCCTCAGTCCTCAACTTGACTCTCTTACTCGATCTCCCGAACTCCATAGTTCCTTTCCAATAATCAGTTGTGATTGGACCGAGAGTCTCCAACCACTGGCATCCAAGTACTATATCAGTCGCCTTCAATGGCAAGGCATAGAGATCCACTCTCATCTTTTGACCCTGAGCCTCCATCTTTACACCTTTGTAGAGAATATCCCCTCGTAGTGTTTCCCCGTTTGCTACCTTGACTCCAAAAGGTTTTACCTTGGTGAGTGGAATCTCAATTTCCTTGGACAACTCCTCATCAATGAAGTTTAGCGTAGACCCACTATCAACCAGAACTTCCACCAATTTGCCCCTAACTTCTGCCGTGAATGTGATCATCTTTGGGCCACTTTCTTGCTCTTAACCATGTGCAACAAGGACTCCTTTCGTGGTTCTTCTTCTTCGCAATTATCCCCAATTTCCAGCAAAAATACTTCCTTACCCTTGCACTTGTGGCCTGGCGTGAACTTTTCATTGCACGAATAGCAAAGGCCTTTTTCTCGTCGCCGCTGCATCTCTTCATCAGTCAAATGTCGTATGTTGCTCGTTGTTCGAACAGCCTCGCCGAACGGCTTGTTCTCGGCTCTCGCCACTGGTTCGTCACTAGCGGCTTGCGTGCGTTTGGTCTCTGTGCGCACGTCGCTCGGTCTGGCCTTGCGTACTGCCATCAGATGATCCTCATGTAGTCTCGCCGACTCCATGGCTGCTCGCATCGATCCTGGCCTATCCAACCTTACTTCTGCTGCTATCTCAGCATTAAGCCCTCCAACGAACGTCCCTACTAGCGCACTCTCGGGCCAATCCCTCACCCTACTAGCAATGCGCTCGAACTCCTTTTGATACTCCCTCAGACTACCAACTTGCTTAATTCTAGACAAGGCTTCATTGTAATCGTGGTAGTCACTTGAGCCAAACCTTGTGATGAGCTCTTTTTCGAAATCCCTCCAACGCTTGTGCTCACCATGGTTCTTGTGCATAACCCATTGCCACCATATGTTTGCTTCTCCATCCAGATGATAAGCAGCAATTTGAACTCTTTCGTACCTTGGCACATCATTTATCTAAAAAAATTGCACAGCTCGACTCAACCATGCGTCCGGATCTGTTCCCGTGAACGTGGGCATGACAATTTTTGGCCGTGTACTTGCCCTCTCGTCCGCTTTTTCATCGCGATCATGGCATTCCCCGTGTCGTCGTGCGTCGCACCGTCGGTCATCGCGGTGTGGCCTCCGCTCTTCATGTGTCGCATGCGACGCGTACGATGCGTGTGATCGCCAATCGTCGTCCTCCTCCTCGCGCCTACGGTCATGATGTGCGCGTCCGTCATGCCGTCGCCGATCGTCATGGTGGTGGTCCGCACGTGATGCGTGTGTGCCCCTCGATCGTCGATCGTACTCCCGCTCGGTCCCGGTGCTTGTCGCCGTGGACCTTGACCCGTGACGCCTCCTTGGCTGTGTGTTCATGCACGTTAGATGCCCGGCCAAGTCCTGGACCATAAGTTCGATCCTTCCCAAGTTCTTGTTGGTAGCATGTTGACCATCGCCGATGATCTTCATGTTGTCTTCCAACGCTTGAATCCCCTCACGGTTTGACATCATAAATCTTCTTTTTTTTTTTTGACTCTAAGTATTCGAACAAAAATTCAAACCAAAAAAGAAATAAGACAAAGAGAAATTCGTCCCTCAACAAAAGATAATAACTGAACAAAATAACAAAGGACTAACAAGATGACGCTTTTTTTTTAAGACACGGAAATATTGAAAAATAAAAGGGAAAATTCGAACCAAAATTCGAATCCCAACAAAAAATAAAGAGAAATTCGGCCCCTCAGCAAAAGGCAAACCAAAAAAAAAAGAATAAGATAGATAGATAAAGAACACGATCAGCACCTCTCAATGAAAGCACCAATGATGACGGATCGTGTCTTTATCTATTTCCGAGTTGTGAATAAACGCGCACTAGGGCCTTCGTTTATCCACGATAGGTGTATCTAACAGACGCACTATCGGCCTTCTCCTAGACACTGTGACTTCAAGACGCTCTAATGGCCTTCTCTCCGACACTGTATGTAAACACGCACTAACGGCCTTGTTTAAACACACGTAAGAACATAAGTTCCCCTCTCAATTGGCTCACCAATTCAATACTCAAATTCAACATGTCAATAATGATGAGGTACATGGGGTATTTATAGTTTCAAAAATAAATCTAAGCCTAACTATACTAGATCTCCTAAATCTTGCAATAATAGAAATCCTAACACTAGAAAGCAATAAAATCCTAAATCTACCAAATAATTAATGCTTGGCTTGCACACCAAGCAATTCTAGAATCTCCCAACTTAAACTTTCACGCCCAAACTCCCTTCGGCCGCCTTATGTGTCGCCCGTTCCGCGCCACCTCGCGCTCGCCTAATCCTCGGCGCATTAGGCTTCACGCGCTCATACCGCACGCGCGCCCCATGCGCGCGCCCAGCCCGTGCTTCCTTCCTCTCGCGCGTGGTCCATTGCGCCCCTCGCCGATGCCTGCTCGTTTTAGGACGCCCGCGCCTGCCTTCCACACGTTCATTCCCGCGCGCGCTTTGCCACCGTGATGTGTGAGTGGGTTTTGACCCCCAACGACAAGAAGGACAAGAGCCAAGACGACCCGATGAGGCTGAAAATAGGGCCAAAACGATGCAAGCATGGCCTAAGAGACTGGTACGAGCTCGTATGCGAGGCGCAATGACACGCAAGAAAGGGCGCATTAGAAAAGGACGAGAATACGCGCGTTGGCATAGACGCGCATGGCGTTTGGAGGTTGAAGCATTGGTTGGCGCGCATGGAGAGGATGTCGAGAGGTTGGCGCGCACAAGGGATTGCAGCGAATGGACGAGCACGTATCGGGCGCTGGGCGATGCACGGGCGGTGCTGGGCGTGCATAGGCCCGCGATAGACGAGCGAGGCGCGGTGCGCGGGAGGCTGGGCGTGCGCAGCCTGCACGGAGGTGGCAGAGACGTGCAGACGATTGGCAGCAACGCGTTGGGCAACACGGGCGATGGCCTAGACCGCGTAGGCATAGGAGTACTGGACGACAAGCGTGGGGCTCAAGGAGACACGCGCGAGGCAGAATGCAAGAACGAGGTGACAAGCCTAATCCTCGTAGGAATAGGCAAGGAGAGAATACTAATCCTCGCAGGAATAAGAAAAGCAGTTGAGTGCCGAAACGCGCGTGGGAGATCGGTGACGGGAGTAATCCTCGGAAGATCAGGAAACGTAATGTAACGCCCCACTTTTATTTAACGAAAATCAGAATAAATTTTTCAAAATTTATTTCAAAACACATGGCGGCGCTACTCATTTCCAAAATAAATTCCAGTAATATCAATAATGTAACTCCCAAACGGGTTCATAAATAACATCAACTCCCTGAACGGGTTTCTCAAACTCATAAATACTATGGATCTCACTCCATAACAATAATTCGATACTCATTATTCGAAAAGCATAAATAACAATTCAAATAAGCGGAAGCAATATCAGATATATGACCACCACTCGCCTCCCTCCGCCGTGCCCGCAATACTAACCTGCATCCATGAAGAGCAGGTGGAGATGAGCACAAATAGAAACAGTAGTGCTCACCACTATGCAATAAATGCTAATCTCAATAATAAACAATGATCAATAATCAAAAGTATGGTCTCAGCATGTATACGTAAATA